TCCTCTCCCTCCCTCCTCGCCTCTCCAGTCCTCTCCATCCTCCTCTACGTCCTCTTCTCCCCTTCCCCTCCCTCCCTCCTTTCTCTCTTGCCCTTCCCTCGCTCTCGTATCCTCCTCCTTCCCTTCCTATCTCCCTCCCTCCTTCCCTCCCGTCTCTCCCTTCTCCTGTCGCATTTGTTCGTGTTCTTGTTCATTTGTCTCTCACGCAGGATTCCTCTGAGGACGCTCGACGACAGGGAGCCGACAAGGCACTGCAGCAGCTCCAGAGCAAGATAGATGCTCTACACCAGCAGGCATGTTTGAGCCAGCCATGGCGTCTGTCGCTCATTCGGTTTGTGTAGCTCGAAGCGGCTCTGTGCGAGGAGGACTACGATCTGTGCGACGTCTTGAACGTGAGGTCAGCAGCTCTCGATCACACCTGACGACTATGCAGGCTGAGATAACATCCCTGACGCACGAGCGAGAAGCTCTGCTGGATCCCGACCTCGTAGCTCAATGAACCTTTACTGCTTCATCTTTCTCGTCCCCTCTCTACACTTCTGCCCACATCATCCGACTTACTGAAGGCACATCTTTGGACCTGGAGGGCATTTATCAGACCAGCATCCCTCCTCAATCCCTAGAGGCACTTCCTTCCTCCCCCCCTGCAAGTACTCCTTCCTCCCTCCTCACAAGTGCTTCCTCCTTCCTCCCTCCTCACAAGTGCTTCCTCCTTCCTCCCTAGAGTTGCTTCCTCCTCTCTCACCCTCTCCCAACTCGCTCGAGCATGCGAGATCCCCAGAAGGTCGAGGAGGTTTGAGGTCGAGACCTGGGAAGGGTGAGGAGAGGACCCTGTCTCAGAAGCTCTTACTTGTACGACTTGGGTTGGTTCTTGGACTCCATGAGAGATTGCTTGAGCTCTCGCGGCTGAATGAACTCAAGGGCCATGGCATGCTCGACGTCTTTCAGCAGGTTTCGATTCGACTGTTTGAGGCTTCAACACATGTCAGCTCGGCCGCTAGAGGTGAAGAAAGTGAACCGGTCAGCGGCAATCTCCATCTTGTGTTTGAAAGCAAGCTTCATACGGGTACAAGAATCCTCAACCTCCTTCTGCTCTTTCTCCAGCGATTCGTTCAGCCGCTCTCTCTGTTTGCTAATGTTTGCTTCCAAGGATACATTCTGGCGCTTCTCTTCCGACTTCTTCTGCAACCTCACATGAGAGATGTGGACAAGAACAAGCGTCAACCCTACCTGCCTCGATAGAGCTCTGCTGGATTCAAGAGCCATGTCGTAATGGCCATACTGACACACGGTTGAGCGCCTTCGAGACGGCAAGCTGACTGACCTTGGCTTGCGTGCTCTCACGGAAGGAATAGTCGCGAACTAACGGTGAGAACTTGATGGAAGGGTAAAACTTTCTCGACACAGCAGCCTCGAAAGCCTTAGGAGAAGTCATCATGTGAAGGACTACAAAGCACAACAACCAGAATCCTCCCTTCCTTCTTCTCCTCAAAAGCCTTCCACTTCTGTTCTACTTTGCTCTCCAACTCTAGTTTCTTCATAGCCCACTCCTTGTGAAAATCTTCTTCCCTCAGCTTGAAGGCCTGGGTCAACGTTAGCACTTTGTCTCGCAGAAGTCGACTGAGCTACAGCTGCTATGTTCCTCCTCTCCATCTTCTGTCTTTCGAGCTCATCAGCCCGGAGTTTCTCTTCATAATCCAGCTTCCTCCTGTTCGCGAGGTCCGACAGAACCTTGGCGCTGCAGCAATGGTGTGAGGAGCTTGGGAGGGTCAGACTTGAGCTCACGTCATGTAACTCTCCGGCGTCCTGTTTCTCGCCATTCTTTTACAGAACCTTCGCAGCTCTCCGACCGAGCACTTGGCCCAATCTTCTTCGGGGAGCAGCTTCGACCGACTGAGAGTGATCTCTTGCCGAATGATCGACATGCTTATCCTTCTACTTCCACACACTGCCACAGATCGCAGAGTGACTGTTACCGGCGCATCATGTTCACGGTTTGTCCGGCATCTTCAGCGCTCTCCGTCTTCCACCATGTCGCGCGTTGTTGCGACTAGACAGAAAGGCATTCAACTGCCACTACCAGTACCAGTATATTTAATAAGTTTGTACCGGTTGACCGTCGTAGCCTACAAAGGTGTCAGTAGTAGTGTACTACCCGGTAGTACTACTAGTAGTACTAGTAGTACTAGTAGTACTAGTACTCCTAGCATTTGAGTTATTAGAAGCCTATTTATCGCAATCAGTCCATGACCTGGTGACGGACTCCCGGGAGGCCGCGGCCCGGCTGAACGGTCCGGCCCGGGGCCCGGCGGACCGGCCCGCGGAGCACTGCCGAAGTTCAGTCGTGACCGTCATCAGGTTATGAGTCTCTGCGTCTCACATCTAAATGCGTGGCTTTAAGAAATATCCAGTTCCTGATATTCATATTCAACCAGTCTATCTAAATTTCAAAGTTTATTGAAACAAATTTTAGTGTTTGACGGGGCGGAACGGAAACTCCAAAGGTGACTCTGAAAGATCAAGAGAAAGATCAAGAAAACGTCTTAGTCAGGGTGGGTAGTCAAGAAGGGGTCTATTCAGATCCGATATTGTAACGAGGTGGGGTGGGGTGGGTAAACCTTTTTTGCAGTGAATGATGATAGCAGGGGTAGGGGTAGAGGGTGGTGTCCATGGAGTTGACAGTCGGCAGTCATGACTATGGCGGAAGTTGAGTGGCATGAGAGGAGAAGGGAGGGCGCGGAGGCAGAGGCAGTAGAGCAAGCGACACGCCAAGGTCCAAGCACCATGGCCGGCTCAAGATCCGATGAGGAGGTATGTGCGGCTCAAGACCATTCAAGAACGGATTTCTTGGCTGGATGTCGGTTGGAATGCGACTTGGATGAAGGTTATGAAGGAAGACACCAGAGAAGCATGGGAACGAGCCCGGATAAGAATAACAAAGGCATCTTGAGCGCGATAAAGGGAGCTGAACAGATCATCCAGGAGCAGCGGCAGAATCTCTCCAAGTTGAAGAGGCTGTTGGAGGCGAATGTCCAGCCAAGTCTGGTGGTCAAACGCGAATCGACAAAGAGCCTGCCCAGGTTGAACATGAACATGATCAAATCAGACTCAGAGTCGGGATCACGCCGAATGAGCTTCGAGAGCACTAGTTTCTGTGAAGTAACTCCCTCCTACTCGAGCATCTCAGCTAAAACTCGGTCCCGTCAGAACAGCCCGGAGCTGTCGAGTTGTGAGAACTCTCCAACCTCAGAATTCTTTCCCGAGCTTGTCCATGAGAATTTTCTTGATTGTCCTTGCATGAGCTGGGAAGAAGCCAGCAACATTCTTGAATCTCGGGACCTGATAGCTGAAGAGCATTCGTCAGCTGAGAACGCAGCTCATCTGTTGCAGCAATTCATGAGGCAGTGCAATTACCTTGCGATAACAGACAGAGCGATCATCACTTATGCTGTCAAAGCCCTCCAGTCAGACGTCAAGATCTCTTCTATCCCACAAGCTCTTTTCAGCCCCAACAACAGGCAGACGACCCCGGTAACGAGACCACGGCTGGGCAGTCAGTCAGGAGGGTTGGAAAGAGACTTGCAGCAAGAGAATGTAGCAGACCAGATGAAAGCTTTTGAGTTGGCGCTGAAACTCGGCGATGACGATCAGTCCTGCATTCCCGACGAGGAGATGCGATCGATCTATGACCTCACGCAGCGTGACGTAGCCATGTCCGCCTCGGGTGAGGATGGGGATGGGGATGTCAACCAAGAGAAGTTCCAAGAGCAACTGACGAGCACGTGGATGGTGTACACGAGACTGAAAGATACGATCATGTCGCTGCTTGACAAGTACTCGGACAAGACGAGTGGGAACCTGAAGCGAAAGGGACTCGCTCGCCTGATGAAGGAACTGATCTTTGACTACGAGCCCAAGGGCGAGGACGTTGAACAAATCCTCAAGGATGCCAAGAAGGTCGGCCAGGGAACGGCAGGACGAGGACAACTGACAGCGGCGATAGTGATCTGGTATAAGAACGTTAAGGAGCATCGAGGTCTGCTGAAGCGAGACAAGGCAGCGGTCTCAGAAGACGTCAAGGAGTGGATCGTTAGCTTCTTCACGCCCTTCAGCAGCACCCCCGTCTTCTCTTCTGACTCCTGTGGAAACACTCCTCGCTTCCGATCCAACAGCCTCACCACCGCCAAGATCTTCGTCAACCGGATCGAACAGCCGGCAAGCATGTCACTGGTGGACGAGAACAACGACTTTCCTCTTCCTGCCTGTTGGAATGAGGAGGAGCTGGTGCAGCTCAACCAGGTGCTGGAGCGCGTGGACGAGTGGGGCTGGAACCCCTTCGAGCTGTCCGAGATCACCCGCATGCGGCCGATCCAGGCGCTGGGATGGCACCTGATAAGCCACTGGAACGTGATGGAGGAGCTGATGATCGACGAGTGAGGTAGAGGTTGCGACTGATCGGCTTTGACTGTCTTGCTGCAGGGCCATCATGAAGAATTGGCTCGCGTTTGTTGAGTCAAAGTACAACAACAACCCCTATCACAATGCCATCCATGCCTCGGACATCTTGCAGACCGTTCACTTCATCCTCAAGACTGGGAACCTGTCGAGGTATCTGACGCGGAAACAGATCACGGTAAGCTCTGCTTCCTCCTCCTCCTGCTTCTCCCCCTGCTCCTCCTCCCGCCCCGTCCTCTTCGTGTTCACTTGGTTGCAGGCTCTTCTCCTCGCGGCGCTCGTTCACGATCTGGGGCATGACGGGCTAAACAACAACTACCACAAGAACTCGATCTCGCATCGGGCACTCATGTACAATGACCAGAGCATCCAAGAGAACTATCACCTCTTCCTGCTTTTCTCCAGCATGGACTCCGAGGAAGAGATCGACATCTTCCACAGGCTGTCGCAGGAGAACTTCTTGGAGCTGAGAAAGTCGATCATCGACATGGTTCTCTTCACCGACATGTCCAAGCACTTCATGCTGCTCAAGGACCTCAAGGAGACCTGCGAGCCTCCCGACACTCTCGGCGACAAGCTTGCCGCGTCCAGCGACCTCCTCATGAAGGCCGTGCTGCACGTCAGCGACATCTCCAACCCCGCAAAGCCGAGGGAGCTGGCGATCAGCTGGACTGAGAGGTGTATCGAAGAATTCTTCAGTCAGGGAGACAAAGAAAAAAGTCTCGGACTGCCCGTGTCACCTCAGTGCAATCGAGAGACTACAAGCATTCCTGACTCGCAGGTCTATTTGCTTCCTCTCCTCTCTTTCACCTCTACTCGCTCCTTCTCCTCCACCCTATCCCTACTTGCTTCTCATCCTCTCTTACCCTTACTCGCTTCCTCCTCCTCTCTTACCTCTTCCTCTTCATCCCTCTTTCCTCTACCTGTCCTCCAACCTTCTTCCTGTCTCCTCCTCCTCCTCCTCCTCCTCCTCCTCCTCCTCTCCGCCTTCTCGCCCCTCTGATTTTCCCCTCCCTCTCCTCCCAACTGTTCATTCCGTCATTGTCTTCATCCTTCTTCTCGCAGTGCTTCCTTTGACTTCTTTGTCTCCACTTCCTCCTCTCAGCTCCTCGAATGCTTTTCTCTCCTAGTCTCCCTTTCATGCTTTTCTTTCCTAGTCTCCCTTTCATGCTTTTCTTTCCTAGTCTCCCTTTCATGCTTTTCTTTCCTAGTCTCCCTTTCATGCTTTTCTCTCCTAGTCTCCCTTTCATGCTTTTCTTTCCTAGTCTCCCTTTCATGCTTTTCTCTCCTAGTCTCCCTTTCATGCTTTTCTCTCCTAGTCTCCCTTTCATGCTTTTCTTTCCTAGTCTCCCTTTCATGCTTTTCTTTCCTAGTCTCCCTTTCATGCTTTTCTTTCCTAGTCTCCCTTTCATGCTTTTCTCTCCTAGTCTCCCTTTCATGCTTTTCTTTCCTAGTCTCCCTTTCATGCTTTTCTCTCCTAGTCTCCCTTTCATGCTTTTCTCTCCTAGTCTCCCTTTCCGTTCTCCTTTCTTTCTCCTTTCTTCGGTTCTCGGCTCTCGTTTCCTCACAGTTTGTTCCTCAGATTGGCTTCATCGAGTTTGTGGTTCTCCCCTCCTTCCAAGTGCTGTCATCAGCTCTTCCAGTTGTGAGTGATGGATAATGGCTTAGTCATGATGATGATGATGATGGAGATGATGATGATGATGGAGATGATGATGATGGAGATGATGATGATGATGATGATGGAGATGATCATGATCATGATCATGACTGATGATCGTCCAGATCAAAGATGTCTGTTTGCCTCACCTTCAAAGCAATCTCCATTACTGGAAGGTTTGTCAACATACCTCTAGAAGCTTCTTCTCCTTTCTTCCTCCTCCTCCTCCTCCTCCTCCTCTTTCCACTTCCTCCTCCTCCTCCTCCTCCTCCTTCCACTTCTTTCTCCTCCTCCTCCTTCCACTTCTTCCCCCGCGCCCTCTTTCTCTTTCTCATTCTCAAAATCTTCAAGGAGAATAAATTGACTTATTTGCAGGAGAAGAAAGAGGAGATGCACAATGCAAGTTCAAGTAAACGCAGCGAGTAAATACTTCAAATGGTTCATCCACCACCACCACCACCACCACCACCACCTCCTCCTCCTCCTCCTCCTCCTCCTCCTCCTCCTCCTCCTCCTCCTCCTCCTCCTTGTTTTCTCTTCTTCTTTCTTCTTTACTCATCCCCCTCCTCTTTCGCCTCAACTGGAAGGGCATCCGCTTTTCTCAGCAGCTCTTCGCTCTTCCGCAGCAGGATCATGGCCTGTAGCCTTTCCTTTGCGTCGTCGGATCGAATTCTCCTCCTCGCCTCCTCCTCCACCTGCGACTCCAATCAATTTCTTGCCTCTCCTCCTCCTCCTCTCCTCTCCTCTATCCACACCAGCTCCTCTCCCCTCCGTCTCCCTCTCTCCCTGCCCCCTCCCCTCCCCTCTCTCTCTTCCTCGTTTCCCCCTCCCTCTTCTCGCCTCCTCCCTCACCTCGTTGGCTTTCTGCACCAACGACGAGCTGATCATCTTCGCGCGCTCCTCCAGCTCCAGCAGCTTCTCCAGCTCCGACATGAAATGTACCACCCGCTCCTTGGGCAGCTTGAGCGGGTTCGCCTCCTCCTCCTCCTCCCTCTTCTCCTTCGTCATCATCACCCCCATCCTCTCCAGGTTCCTCCTCGCCACCAGCAGGCTGGGCCGAGCCAAGTTCACATCCTCGCTCTTGAGCTTCTCCACTGCGTCTTCAAGGCCCTTGGTCGTTGCCTCCTTTGCCTCCTCCTCCTCCTCCACCAGCTGCTGTTTCACCTCCTCCAGCTTCTCTCGGATCTGAGCGGGAGGACGGAGGTCCTCGATCTTGCTTATGGGATTCTCACTCGCTCCTGCCATGGCCAGCGCGTCGTTGAGGCCGTAGACTCGGTTCAGCTTCTCCCTCTCCTCCTCGCTCATGCTCGTGCTCATTCCCGCGCTGCCGAAACGTCAGGATGATGATGATATTGTTGTTGTTGTTGTTGTTGTTGTTGTTGATGATGATGATGATAGAGATAATGATGATGATGATGATGATGATTGAGAAGAAGAAGAAGAAGAAGAAGAAGAAGATGATGATGATGATGATTGAGAAGAAGATGAGGATGATGATGATGGAGATGATGATTAGTGGAAGGGGAGGAACCTTTCGAACAAGGAATCGAGGTTGAGGAGAGCAAGATTTTCTTCAGCCTCGTTCAAAGCCATCCTTATCTGTTTCAGATGTGAAACTTTAATGCGGGAGGAGAGCAAGAGCAAGAGAAGGTAGAGGAGGGTCGGGAGGAAAAGATGAGAAGGAAAACAAGAAGGGGGGAGGAGGAAGAGGAGGAAGAGGAGGAGGAAGAGGAGGAGGAGGAGGAGGAGGAGGAGGAGGAGGAGGAGGAAGAGGAGGAAGAGGAGGAGGAGGAGGAGGAGGAGGAGGAGAAAGAAGAAGATCGGGTACCTTCATCAGGTTATGCTGTTCCTTCTCCTCCGGCTCGAGCTCTTTCTCAGCTTCCTTGAGCGACTTGTCGGCTTTCTCCGTCAGCTCTGTGACAGCTCTCTTCAGCAGCTCCGTCTCCTCCTCCAGCTGCTTCTTCCGCGTGTTCCTCTGCCTCTCCTCCCACATGGAATCAATCGCATCCTCCTCCTTGTTCTTCGTCGACGACAGAAGATCCGACAGTGACCTGCCCTCCTCCTTCTTCTCCTCCTTCTTCTCCTCCTTCCTCCCGCCCGTCTTCGCTGGCTCCGACCCTCCTTTCCTCTCTTCTTTCCTCTCCTGCTTCTGCTTCTGCTTCTGCTTCTCCTCGTTCTTCTCCTTCTCCTTCGGCTTCTTGTCGCTCTTTCTCGTATCCTTCTTCTCCTTCTCTTCCTTCCTCCTCTCCTCCTTGCTTGTCTTCTCCTCCTCCTCCTCTGCCTGCAACGCGAGCTCCTTCCCGTTAGTCCTCATGTACTCGCTCACTGTGTCCTCCATGGCTGCTGCTCCTCCTCGCCTCCTCGTCTCGCACTCGTGCAGCTTCAGGCTCGCGTCCATCGCTCCCTCCCCGTCCTGCAGCACATCTCGAAGAAGCTCCTCCGCCCTCCGCAGCTTCTGTTCGGCCTCCTGGCATCCCTCAGGCACCCAACCACTAAGGTAGGAGGAAGAGGATGATGATGATGATGAGGAGGAGGAGGAGGAGGAGGTAGTGGCAGAAGGTTCAGGGCGGCTGTAAGTCATGAGAACTTCGGCGGAGCACATGTCAAGATTCGCGAGCATAGACTCTCTGCGGAGTTGCTCGAAACCAACAGGCTTTCTCCTTTCCTTCTCCTTCTTCTCTTTCTTCATCTCCTCCTCCTCTTTTTCCTCCTCCCTCTCTTCTTTGTTATCTCCCTTGCCCTTCTTGCTCTTCTTCTCTTCTTCTTTGTCTTCCCTTCTTGTCATCTTGTTGTCTCTGAAACCAGGATTGCTCCCCAGGTACAGGAACGAAGATGCTTTTCTCAGCTTCCGCCCTGCCTCCTCGAATCTCCCGCTCTCCTTAGCTGACTGCAACAATGTCAGAATAGCTGAGAAACAGAAGACAGAAATAGAGGAGGGGAGGAGAGGAGGAGCAGAGATCGAACGAAAGAGAAGAGGGGAAAGAAATGCATAGACGAGGAGAGGAGAGGAGAGGAGAGGAGAGGAGAGGAGAGGAGAGGAGAGGAGAGGAGAGGAGAGGAGAGGAGAGGAGAGGAGAGGAGAGGAGAGGAGAGGAGAGGAGAGAGAGAGAGAGAGAGGAGAGGAGAGGAGAGGAGAGGAGAGGAGAGGAGAGGAAAGCGGAGTGACGAGGAGAGACGGGGAGAAAGAGGAGCAGGGGGAGCAGGAGCAGGAGGAGAAAGACGAGGGAAAGGATGAGGGGATCAGGAGGGGAGGGACGAGCGGCTACGAGTCGGAGCAGACGTTGACAGGTTGTGCGACAGGCAAGCGGTCCGGACGTGTTTGGAATATGCTCTCTCCCTGCTGCCAACTCAATCGCTGAGCTCAACGACGATGGAGGAGGAGGAGGGTGGAGCGGAGGGAGACTGCGTCTACCTCATCGCTAGGCTGATCCTCCTCACCTCAGCACAGACCGTGCAGGTGAAGCTCCTATCTCCTTCCACCACCCCTTGTTGATGGGCGAGCAGGAGGGGCTCGACATGCTCGACTACCTCAGGCTGCGGCATCACTCCCGCTCGCTCTTCCTCCCGGCGTGCAAGCAGGCGGCCACCCTGAGCCTCCTCCTCCCTCGGCGATGCTCCGGGCGAGGGGAGCAGGACCGGCTGATGGGAGCGTCTCGCCTCCTCTTCCTCTCCGGGGACTACGAGCAGAGCTTCGACCGGGTTACTGAGCTCGTGAGCCGCTACATCCTGGAGGAGGAGGCGTCAGCGGGGAGGGAGGAGGCCATCCGGTTCTGCCTGCAGCTGAGGAACCAGCTGGAGGAGAACGGGGGGCAGGCGGTGAACGGGAGCCTGAGGAACGAGCTGATCGAGTGGGTGCAGAGGAGCAGCAGGAACGCGGAGGAGGTGGAAGCCATGTTCACCCTCCTCCTCCTCATGGAAGCCCATGAGCTGTATGCTCAGCAGAGCTTTGCGCAGGCTCTGAACCTCCTGCTGGAGGGAAGGCAGACCCCCCACCCCCCCGGCGCTCACATGTCCCTGTCCTACTCCCAGTTCCTGTCCAGCTGGAGGTCCCGGAGCTTCTTGCCGGTGAGAAAGAATGGGGGAGAGAGTTGAGGCATGAGGAGGAGGAGGAGGAGGAGAGCCAGCAGGAGCAGGGCAAAGGAGCAGGAGGCAGGAGGAGGAGGAGGAGGAGAGGGTTTTGCTCATGGTGGCTGCAGGTGCTCAACGGCAGGACGGAAGCTGGTGAGATCGAACGAGCAGCCGCACGAGCGGCTGAGAAGATCCGAGCGATGGACTCAGATCTCTCCGGAGCTCCTCAGGAGGAGGAGAAGTAGCAGCAGATGTAGAGAGGGAGGAGGAGGAGGAGGAGTGGAAGCGTGCAGCAGCAGCAGCAGCAGCAGCAGCAGCAGCAGCAGCAGCAGCAGCAGCAGCAGCAGCAGGATGGGAGCGAGAAGGCGGGAGGATCAGCTGTGAGGGAGTTTGGGACGAAGGAGGAAGGAGGAGCATGGGAGTTAATTTTGAGTGCAGTTGAAGGATGAGATCATGGCTTGTAAGCCAGCGAGAACCCCGAAGTTCGGAGAGGACGGTGAGATTTTCGATTTCTCCTCCCCTCCTCCCGTCTGTGCTCCGTTTCCTCCTCCAGCTGCTGCTGCTGCTCCTACTCCTTCTCTTCCCCTTGCCCAGGCTCCTGCTCCTGCTCCTGCTCCTGCTCCTGCTCCTGCTCTTGCC